GGATAAACAAAATACACGGAGACTGTCTTGAAATATAAGCGATATTTGGGCTCGGGTCGAAAACGTGATAGGGGCTCGGCAAGCCTCGCCCTCTATCACGTTTTCTTACCCTCGCCCAAATATCGCTTATATTTCAAGACAGTAACCATGTATTTTATATATACTGCGTTTTAAGGTCCGCCCTGCCTCTTTCTCTAATTATTATGCTACGAAAATAAACCCTGTTCAAAATTTTCTCCTTGTAATAGTAAGATATCTAAAATACAGAGGGCGGACCTTTTATTATACTGCGTTTTAAGGTCCGCCCTGTCTCTTTCTCTAGTTTTTATGCTACGAAAATAAATCCTGTTCAATGTTTTCGCCTTGTAAGAGTACGATATCTGAAATACAGAAGGCGGAGCTTTTATTATACTGCGTTTTAAGGTCCGCCCTGCCTCCTTCTCTATTGTTTATGCTACAGAAAAGAACCCTGTCTATAATTTTCTCTTTGTAATAGATAGATCAAAACGGGGGATGAAGGTTTTACATAGGAATATCTAGGAAAAAGTCTTCAAAAATCATCATCAGTTAGTATAGATGTACGTTTGTTCAAATCATGACCCCCGGGGTAGGATGGGGTCACAATGGGGGATCAAAAGTTTTACATAGGATATATATATTATCGAAAAATCTTCAAAAATCTTCTCCACAAGAACAGCAAAGCCATCTTTAGTCAGATTGATATGGAAACATCCTCAGGTATTGTAGATTCAAATTTGTTTAATCCATAATAAACGGTCATATGAAATTAATTTTCCGCCGAAATATAGCCGACTCGGCGTTAAACCCTAATCAATCAATCAATCAATCAATCAATCAATCAATCAAACCATGACCCCCTAGGGGCAGGATGGACCACAATGCACTATCAGGGTTTAGCATGTGAATATAATTGGGGAAAAATTCTAAAACCTTTTTTTCAGGAACAACAAACCATGTTTAGTCACATTGATATAGAAGTATCTTGAGGTAGTGTAAATTCAAGTTTGTTTAAATCATGACCCAGGGGTAGGGTGGGGCTAGCGCTACATCTATAAAAATCATGACACCTGGGGTGGGGTGGGGTTCACAATAGGGATTAATGTTTTACATTGAAGATATGTTAGAATAAATTTGCTGATGAAAAACAGCAGGGCCTTATTGACTCAGGCCCATGGGCCTCTTATTTTATATCATATCTTGGAAAATCGTAGGACGATTCTTTTATAAAAGGCAGTGACGACTCTGAATGTATAATGGTAGTACAACGTATATTTATCTAGAATATATTCGCCACATACAATCAAAAGATATGAGGTCAGATTTATTATCCATGTATATCACAAAAATGTTATGTTAGAATGATCATTAGTTGTACTGTATCCGTATCTATAGACTTTGGTTCATATAGCATGAAAAAGAGGGGGTATTTGTTTCTGTATTCATACAATGAATTGGGAAAATAATCACCTTAAAAATAAGAAAGGGGGTCATCAACACTAAGTACATAATGTATGTGGTAAATGCCTTGTGTGACAAGTAACAAGAAATCTGTAATACACCAGATTAGGTTAATTGAAGTTGGTGTTTATTTTCTATGTACAGTGTACCTGATACGCAAGGAGCAGATGGAAATATAAAGAAGGTGTTATTGCCACCCCCTCCCCCTGTTCCTCACTCCAGCCAATACCGAAATTATTCATATAACATGCGCGGATCTGGGGGGGGGGGGGTCGGGGGACCCCCCATCTGGAATTTGCAGAGTTATTAAAAGTATATACTGAAGTAAATAAAAAAAAATGACTTTGGACCCCCTTAGAAAACGTGGACCCCACCATCACCATCACGAAATAGGTGTTTTTCACGTTTGGGAAATGGATTTTACGTTTTTTTTTTCTTCCTTGTCAAGAAATTTTTGGGTTAGAAATTTTTTTGACTGGTATGGACCCCCCCCCCCCCCGGGAAAAAAATTCTTGATCAGCGCCTGTATAATCATTATTCAAAATTGTTAGGTAATATCCGAAACAACAAACAACATATGTGCAATGTATAGCATTTATTAAAGTCGAACTTCAAAAATTCTGTCATGACTAAATGAGACCGATTGTATTATTTCCTCCATGGTTACCACGGAGAATGACTGAGGACTTCGAAAAGGATGATTTAAGGACATTGGCAAAGTTCCTAGCTTTCGTAAAGAATTTTTCAAAAACTCTTGAGCAGGTGTAGTGGTACTAAACAATACACTTTATTGGTTTTCACCGCGTAGAAAATTCTACACGGGAGATCACTCTCAATCAAGCTCCAGACAGCTCGGTCTTAGTATTAGACTCTACACTTGGAATAAGAAATTTCTTTAAATATTGTAAAAAAAATAGACTATATATAATTATATATATCACAATTTTGATTTGTACGCATGAATATCATAATAGTATTATAATTTGTTCTTCGACATAATTTATTAAAATAGAGAATTCATATCAATTGATTTAAAGCAAAACATTGTCATTGCTATCTGCCGCGGGCTCTACCTGCGGGTACCTGTCAGGTATACGAATACTTCACACCCCCATTGTTTTATTGCCTACACACACCGGCAGATTTCACACCTTTAATCGTCCTAATTTACACAAAGCAAATGCTGGGGACAAACAAACACAAGCCAAATAAATGCGACATTTTTTTTTTTTGTCCAAAAAATAAACACAACAGCTAGGGTACATGTAAATCCTTCATCTTTCTTCATATGATGTAAACAAATTCTCTATAATTTTATGTGTTTAAGTCAAGATTAAAACATTTTGCACCACCCGGACCTTTAAACTTCGGCGGACCTTTTCTTATACGGGCCGGACCTTTTCTTATAAAAGGCGGACCTTATATGTTATCGTATTAGGTCCCCCCGGACCTTTAAACGAGGCGGACCAAATATTATGCGACACCGGTCTCCACGACACTAGAGCAAACCGTTGAAAACTCCAAGAAACAGAGTCATGGGGTAAAATCTAGGAACTGAAATTTATTTCAAAAGTAAAGATACTTTGCTTACTTTTTCTTGCCTTTCAAAATGCACCTGTTATACATGTTGTGATATTTATGAATTAAGTTTAGCTATATGTAACTAAAGATAAATGCGGAAAATCCTTTCACAGGAAAACATAACCTGAAACACAAGTATAACATTTTTAAAAAGCTTTACCGTGTTTAGCAACAACCTTAAACAGTAAACTGAAATACACCGATCATGCAATATTATTCTTGAGTATAGTTCTTGGCTTTGCATTTCTTCAACAGCTTTTTAACTGACATATACATATAAGCCATACCATATACATATAACAGGCTGTGCAAAACAAAGAAAGAAAAATAAACACATATTGATGTTTGCATGGAATTTCAGATAACAATGAAAATATAGAAACAGTTTTTAATAGTTGCTATGAAATATTAGTATGTGTATTTCATTTATGTTCGTTTTGACGATTTTGAAATAATTGAAAATTTTCACATCATGTATTTTTCACCAATCACAAAAGGAAGGAAGTGCATAGTCCGAAGACTATAAAATATACCGTCTTAATAAATTACTATAACATCCATATTGATCTATTAATGTAGGAGAAGGCTACGTTCATAAAAAAGAAAACCCTAACCTTTGCAAATATTTAAAAATGACTTTGAGAAGGCTCTAACGTATTCAAGTGAAATTCACATATTTCATCTTACAGCGAATTAAATATACAAATGTAGTTCACTGGTAAAATGTTAAACAAACAAGCATTCTGAGAGTGTTGCATTAGCCATACTAGTCCCCTACTGGCAAGTGTAATCTGGTTCCCGTTAAGAATTGAAAGTGTCATAATTCCGTCAAAAATCAATGAAGCGGAACGAAATGCAAACGTGGTCTATAACTAATCAAGGTAAAGTCACATACCAAAAATCAGTTCAATACCTGAAAGCGTTTAGAAGAAATTTGCGGAAAACTCTTAAAAATTGAAAAGGCCATAATTCCGTCAAAAATCAATGAAGCGGAACGAAATGCAAACTTTTCTGTAACTCATCAAGATACACTCACATACCAAAAATCAGCTCAATATCTGCAAGCGTTTAGGAAAAAAGTGCGGAAAACCAGGTGGGACAGACTGACAGACAGACAGCTAGACAGACTAATAATAATGTAAGATTACACACAAACAGATATATCCACTGGCGGATTTAGAAGAGGGCGTGCATGGGTTCCCTAAAATTTCCAAAAAATAGGTTACATGTTTATTTAGAGCTACTAATTTAGGAATAAAAGAAAAAATAAAGGTAAAACTATCATCATATTAAAATGTGCATATCAAAATACCTTAAGTGGAAATTGCCAAATAGAGATATTTGACTAGTAGTCACTATTCTCAGATTTTTAAAATAGATCTTTGTCTTTCTTATCTTTAGAAAGTGAAGAAAAATGATTTTATCTCAAATTTTTTTAAATTTAAAAAAAAAATTGCACATTTTTTTTTTACTTCAATCACATCACAATGGAAATACTCTTACTCATCCCACGGTAGTTCATGAGTACATGAACTTTTTCTAATTTGGAAAGAATCTTAAGGAAAAATATATGGAAATGGAAATATCTATTACACATATTCATTAATGCTTTTTTTATTTATGATTCTCTCTTGGTAATATTTTGAAGTCTGTAAACCAGTTACGTTTAGAGTTGCAAAGACAACCCAACATGACATGATATCACGTCATAAAGTATTCTTCGGTAAAAAAAAATGAATGGCAATCAGACAAACTTCAGTAAATTTCTTTCAGTGCATGCCCGGGAATTTGAAATTTTGAAGAAATAAAAAACATACAAGTGTATTTTAAAAACAATGAAAATCCGTCACTGAAGAAAATCAACCACCGAAACTGGACATCCTGCATTTGTATGTATAGTTTTTCATCGCCAAGGTTTTGCACACTTTGTACCCTACTCTCTAAATGATTGCTAAACTAATCATGGATATCAAGAGCCACGAGTTGTACTGTTTATAAATGATACTAGCTGAGGAGCGAGGTGTTGTCTGATCAGATGTTGGTAAATACGACGTTTGTTGACGCGAAGAATGATGTTTTGTGGATAAACTTTGTGATGTCGAATCTGAAGTTGGGGCGAACGGTTGATGAGATGTTGCACTGCTTGAACGGCATCCATATAATGCATCCAACATCGCCGTACCTGAAGTACCAATCTTACATGTAGATCGGCGAATGGAGTTATTTACCAAGAATGCCATGGTAACCGTTTCTCCAGGTTTACCCCTGACACCAAGCAGCATGTTGATTTCGGCATGAACAATGTTAGTTACCCTCTCAGGGGACATGGGCACCCATTTAGAAATTTCTCCAAATATAACAATATCTGTCCCATTCCTGCAACAAGTTATATTTTCAAATTTATTTTTATTGGTAACATGTTTTCAGTAACATGTATTTTCCAAATGTTGGAGACTCTAAAATTGTCAATAGTAAAATAGTTTAAGAAAGATGTCTACTGCATAGTTGTTGGGATGGTCACAGTATACGATTTAGTTACTTACAGTCCGGTTTCTCTGGCACTAAATAAGTACAAGCAGAAGTCCTCACGTGTACAGTTGTCGAGAACCAATGGATGATCATCATCGAACGGTTGCCACATTTCTGGTGAGCCGAAAGGAAATACTAGAGATGACATCAGCTGTATATATAACATAGACAAATATAAAAATTACCAAACTAAGCGGTTTTATACAAAACATGATACAGACCACTAGTAACCGTGGCGTCGTGGAATTAAAACTGTAACGTGTAGTTCTCGAGGAGTTTACTTACACTGTCAGGGAACCCAGTGTCTGAGTTCCTGATGGTGTACGGGGATGATAGATTGGTTGCCATAAGGATACCAAATTCACGTGGTCGGTCAGAAACAATAGTTGTGTAGGATGTCCATACTTCTCCAACAGGTCCGTCAGCTGACGGTATGGCAGCCTGCAAAAACCAGGTGTACGAGGGATGTTCAATATATGATACAAAAGGTCATCAAAAAATAAGGAAAATACAATATGATACAAAAGGTCATCAAAAAATAAGGAAAATACAATATGATACAAAAGGTCATCAAAAAATAAGGAAAACACAAAAAGCAGTTTCTTTGAGTCCTTCAAAGCATTCCCTGTTAAACTTTGCACGTCTTAAATCTCTGTACCCATGACCAGAACACCTCAGCATACTCTTCTTTTGGGTAGCTCAAAAGACAATGATAGATAACTGAACACCAAACTGTATGAAAAACTACTCTTTCAATGTATATCAAAATAATGTCTTCATATGTGTTCTTCAGTGATTTTTGTAATGAAGCGCAGTTTTCACATACGCCCTCATTTTCATCTTATTGACAAAAGACCATTTGAAAAGTAGTTTTCAGCTAAGTGAAGTGACCATGTGTATTTTAAAAGTGATTTTCTTTTCGAAGACAGTAGAAAAAGACATGAAGTTTTCGGTCATTAGGAGTTCTAAAATAGAGCTTTTTGACAGTGAAAAAATGAAATCAATTGCTACCATATTTATAACGATAAACCGTATATTGCATTTCTTTTTGAACGATCCTCGTCATCATTTAGTTTCATTTTCTCTCCGATGCCAGTCGAGACTGGATAGGGTAAGTTCGTCAATTAATTTATTATTATTTATTTATTTATTTATTTATTAATACTCCCTGATTCCTTGTAACGAAACCTCTTTTTAATCGTTATGTGTAATTTTGTTTATCTACTTCATAACTATGTATACAAAAAATACTTTACTTTCAGACAAACCTTAATTATTTGTTTGTCGATGGCGGTAGCGGGACGTGAAGGTTTTAACAGACGACCATTTCCATCGCAGCATCTCATAATAAGATACACGTCAGAGTTATTTATCTGGTCTCCTGGTCCTACAGGACCTGCACTGAGTGTGGACACTAACGCCTCCAGTGCTGGGTAGGGCTCTGTGATATCTATTAACGATATAAATATCAAATATAAGAATATCAAATATAAAAGTATCAAATACTAATTAGATACTAGCGTACAATTCTGATCAATTTAAGTCTACCATTGTTTATTAAAAAAAATATTTGAATAACCTCTAAAGTTATTAAATTAAGTGGAATTAAATATATACCGTTAACCAACCTTTATCAAGGTTCGCGAGTAAATGATGCAGCTGCAAACTTGTTCTTCAATTTGGTGATAAGAAGTATCAATTATGAAAGAACTACTTTGGCATCGAGTATCCACAAAATTAAGAAGCCATAAATAAAAGTTGAGTTAGGATATTAAAACTCTTTATATAAGTACCTGGGTACCGGGGATTACCAGTCTGTTGATGTGTAGACCAGAAAGTGTCCTTGTATGGTGCCAAACCAATAGCAGACGCCAACATTGACGATATCCCAATCCGCCATTGCTCTGGCTCTAAATGATAATCTTGACTCACCCTTGCCTGTAGTAAGGTAAGGAGTAGTATACGTTTGGAAATTTTATAATTATTATAATCTCTATGGGTAAAACTGATCTAGAAAAATTATTCAAAAAAGGAAAAAAAAAATTAGTGTTAAGCAGTAAAATCTATTAAAATTGTTGAACGACAAACATTATTTAAAGCGGAGGTGTAAAAGCAAGATGAAGAAAACTTAGATACTGCCATAAGACAGTAATACCCGCAAGTAAGTCTTTGCCCTTAAAATTATTCTCTTTTGTACACGGATGACTGTTGAAGAAGCAACAATAGTTTTTCCATAATTTACATAAATATACATTATCAAACTGAGCATAAAATGTGCAGGTACATATATAAGCATGTGGGCCATGGGCGTCTTATGTTTTAAAACCTTACTACACAACTTCGACACCACCAATCATATTCCATATTGGCTACTGCTTTAAAGTTAAGAGGAATTTGAGGAACAAGAAAGTGTGATAGACGGACGGGCAGACAGACAAGGATAGCAACAATATACTAGTATATGAGTTTTCTATGGAAAGTCAGATATTGTACAGTTTTGTTGACAAAGAAAGATAACTAGGATACTAGTAAGTTTGATAAAATTTCCAGTGGATATACCAACAAACATGGAAGGAAGTGATGTTAGAATTGCTAGTATATCGTATTAAAATAACCGATACGGTTAAGCCAGGAAATACCATTCTACACATGTGTATGTAAATATCAGATAGTAAGATGCCCAGTGACAAATGATAGAGTGTTCCATGAAAAAGAAGGAATGATTGTACTATTTCATAGACCGCAAATACATCCGACTGCTGAGAGTAAAATTTTAAAAACAAAGATATTATGACATGCCTTATCATCTTGTACAGTCCATTCCCAAGACAGATTTAGCTCTGAGAATAGCATCTTTCTTGTTTCGTGACATAATATACTAGATGAATACTAGTACATAAGTTCAGATTTGTTGGTATCGTAAATAAATTAAAATATCCTTACAAACCTAAAGTTCTTTCAACGAGTTATTACTCTGTAACCCACTTTAAAGTCTTTCTTAATTTACCTGTGTAATGGCGGGTAGAGTAACACTGGTTAGGGCGTGACGAGGGAGGGACATACAAAGCTGCATGGTAAGGTTCTGTTCCTGCGCTGCCCCTCCCATTCTTGTCATCCAGCTCTCCCCAAGAAAGAGATCAGTCTGAAGAGCGGCAAGACCTAGTGTTTGGATGTCTAGCCAGTCCTGCAAAATTATCGGGAAAGAAAATATAAAAAAAAAATTGCACAATGGAATGTAACATCAAAATGGAATATTTTGTTCTGATATCGTATTAAAAGGTATTGCATTACATGAACTGTTCGTCGATGACTTATTTTGACATGTAGATTCCTAACATTCACACATGTTTTTTTTTTTTTAATAATACGAAGGTTTTCCCAGAAAAAAGTGAGCTAATAAATATTTCTTAAACTACCTGACCAAATTATTCATTTTTTGCACATTTTTTTTGTAATGAAAATAGTGATATTTTCGCTATTTTGGAAGAAGAGACACTATTTAGACCATCAAGAATGATGACATACTGACAAGTTAGGAGCTGGACGTCATACGTGGCGACCATCGTTTACCGTAACTACTTATTATTCGAGAAGGTGGGATTATGATCGGGGTTGGGAGACTGTCCATTTAAAAAAATTAAATCTGAAACAGCAATCTTTCAATGATTAGCATTTGTGAGATGGGTACTTCGGTTTCTAACTGAAAATAAAATTGTGTCGAATTTCATCTTCAAATGAATTTTTAAAGACGCACTGTAATTCCTGAACAATTTCACAAACGCCACGAACTACATGTAAGTTTTGACCCCGTCGGTGTTGCATCGACATATAGTATGTAAATTGTGAGAAAAAAAAATTATTTTATTTATGGAGAAAATTTAATAAATGTTAATGTAGTATTTCAAAACTATCCATGCTAGTTTTTATATAACTTTACAATATAAGTGAAGTAAAAAATAGTGAAAATGTTTGCGTTTTTCTGGGACAACCCTCGTATTATCAACTTACTTGTTCATATACTGCTAAACCCCATTTCTTTGAAGTCCTAAACAAATTTGGCCAGAATGTCTGTAAAAAAAAGAAAGATTCTTTATTTTCAATTTTTCAATATATGATTCATACGAAAATTCATAAAGGACAGATACATTTATTAAAAAAAATACACATGAATTGATACTAAAACCTACGATATAATGAACACACGGTAAAAACTTACTTCATCATCTGGCAGTGATAAAATTGGCTCCACAATAAAAGTGAAATTTCCATTATTTTGCTTGGCATATGATGTATCACGTCCCCTTAAAGGAATTAAATATTTTCAATTTATGTCCTTTGTTTTTTCTTGTTTTTTTTTTTGGGGGGGGGGGTGTTTATATGATGTGCCTGTAATCTGTTATAGCACTTGTGAAATTCATATAGAAAATTTATCGGCAAACTCGTAGTTTCATTTTCAAAACCCTTTTAAAGGCATTTTATAATGAAATAATCATCAATAGAGTTAATCTTTTAGATTTTAAAGCCTACAAATGTACAATTGAAGAAAAAGGCCTATTAGCTTAGACAGCCAGCTGAGTATAATGATTTTCTCAGGCTATAATCAATTCCCACGTGGAACTGGAACTCTGCACCAATGTGACATAAATTTTGTACTTTGAAGAGGATTTTGTTCATTGTTGCATAAAGTTTATCAACTTAGCCCTAGGAACACAAATTGCACAATGAAGTGAAATGCTAAATTAAAGTTTATCATCATCATACAAACAATTTTCATACGAATTATTCATGTATTCAGGTGATTTTCAAACAGTTTGCCTTTTAGATGTACGTTAGTGAAGTTTTTCAAGAAATAATGAATGTAATATGTGAACGAACCTACATAGTGTTTCAACCCTCCTGAACGAACGCTAGACACAGAGGCCATAGATTTATCATTTTTTTTTAATATTGGCTGCACATATACATGTAGTAACAATAGAAGTCTAGGAATTTGAAGAGGATTTAGAAGAATTAAATGAATTTTTATGGTATTAGACCCACCCCTCTTTTCCCAAGAAATCTGGGACCATGAAATTCACATTTTTTTGTTTTTCCTTTATTTATTAATGTCACAAACAAAATTAACATCCATATCAAAGAAAAAGCTGGAAAGGTTTTAATGCTCACAAGTGACCTGAAATAAATGACCATCCTTCGATCTAATCTTTAAGATGTACTTGAAATATCAATTGGTTTTATTTTTTTGAAATATTATGCCATAAAATACCAACCAATATCTGTTGTGAGCAACTATCGGAAGACCTGTTTTCCTATGCAGAAACCTAAAAAGGAGATTGAAATGAATCAATATTATCATTAACAACAAACGTTGAAAACGACAAATGGTCATTAAATATTATTGGTATACATGTAACTACCCGATCTCATTATAAATATTATTGGTATACATGTAACTACCCGATCTCATTATAAATATTATTGGTATACATGTAACGACCCGATCTCATTATAAATATTATTGGTATACATGTAGCTACCCGATCTCATTATAAATATTATTGGTATACATGTAACTACCCGATCTCATTATAAATATTATTGGTATACATCTAGCTACCCGATCTCATTATAAATATTATTGGTATACATGTAGCTACCCGATCTCATTATAAATATTATTGGTATACATGTAGCTACCCGATCTCATTACAAATATTATTGGTATACATGTAACTACCCGATCTCATTATAAATATTATTGGTATACACGTAACTACCCGATCTCATTATAAATATTATTGGTATACATGTAGCTACCCGATCTCATTATAAATATTATTGGTATACATGTAGCTACCCGATCTCATTATAAATATTATTTATTGGTATACATGTAGCTACCCGATCCCATTAGGAAAAACATCTTTTCTGGGTTCCCATGTCTTCACTGAATCCTGGAATCCTTTATAATACCACCAAGAATCAATCTGTATATACCTGAAACAATTAAACAATTGATATTGAAAGTAAAGATAAAACATAAAAATCAGTCTCATAATTCCAGGTTACAATAAGAATGGTGAACAGGGCAAAAATAGGGACCCTTGGAAATACCAGATAAGTTGTACTTCCAAACTAGGTCGTTATAACATCCATAGACTCTGCAAAGTGCTGAATTTAAATGAGACTTTAGAGGGCTCTGTAACAAGAACTTATTTGTCAGTAACCTGTCTTGGTTTAAAAGTTGATTGTACCCAGAACATGCGTTTGCATTCCGAAATAGTTGGTGTTGAAATAATTTCTTCTAAATGTACAATCAAGAATGTTACATGTATATTCATATACTTAATATTTTACATACCCATAAGGTAGCCTGACAGACTCGCTGTACTTTTGAACGTCAATGAGTGTGTCTTGGTAGGTTTTATTTACGCTATTTGTGGTAGTCTCTGTATGATAATAGTAATAGGCACCTAAAACCACAAAAAAAGTACAAATTTGAACTTCTTCTCATCTGATTGTCTTAATAGGATAATAAGGAGGTTTCTCTTAACTTTTAAATTTGTTGCTTTCCATTTTTTCAGACACAGTAGATTGCATTGTGTGCCAATGACAGCTTTGACGCCTACGGCACGAAAAGGAACCCTTTTTTAACAACGTTGAAAACTTGGGTTAAAGTCCTATCTTTTAAAACAGAATTATGGAAGAAGAAAAGAAAATCAAGAGCATTACATTTAGAGATACATGATGTATAATACAGCTGACGGGATTTGTAATGGCTAGCGGTAATCATATGATTCTTATAGCCTCATGTCTTAGCAAACGACGAATCTATTTCAGAGACATTCAACTGATCAAGGGTGAAGTACTTTTTTTTAAAAAACAAAATTTCTTACCATTATCTGTCCAATAGCCAAGGTAATTTAGAGACACATCTTTGGTCTGAAGCTGTTGTCGTTTTGCTTTTGTCTTGTAGAGTGATTCAAGAAAATGTCCATATTCCTGAAATGCCTGAAATTTCAAGATATAAAAAATCAATCACCAAAAAAGGCGGATAGGGTGAAGTTACAAATTATATCTTTGGAATAGCAATATAAGATCTTTGGTTCAAAAAATTTTATCTTCATTGTTTACGCTCATGTCATTTCATCGTTACAGTACAGTCACTACTTTCACAAATAAACCGTTTCGTCTAAATCGAACAAAATAAAATTCCTGTCAAGCAGAGAACACATCACTTGAAAACTCGAAACTTTCGTTCCGTGATTTCCATTCTGTTTTTCCATTATGTATTTCAACTTTTCAAGTGAAGATTTCACTGTCAAAAATTCAACAGTCGGCGTAGAGGCAAATTCAGGGTAAGAAATGTTAAACAAGTGGACAATAGTTCTTTAAATGTGTTTTGAAGAATAATATTGCTACCTTAAAATAATGTAGCCGCTGACTCCCCTTATTATAGCACACCATAAATATATCTACAATCTACTTACTTTATTTATTCCAGATGCAGCCACTGCAACCGTTTTTACAATGTACCCTTTGGGAATGGAATCCACACCACCCATAACTCCCCAGTTTACTGACCCTCCCAGCGATTGGTCGTGCCACATCGAAGTCGCCATAAAGTTGTTTAATGGGGAAATAAGAATAGTATTCCCAATAGCATCGAATACAGCCAGAGGACCACTTTTGATGCCATCTGTCATCTTAGGGGTTTTAGAACTAAAACTAAACACAAAAGCTTAGAACTAAGACTAAACACAAGAGCTTAGAACTAAACCTAAACACAAGAGCTTAGAACTAAGATTGGAACTAAAACTAAACACAAGAGCTTAGAATTAAAACTTGCCACAAAAGATTAGAATTAAAACTAAACACTAGAGCTTATAGCTTAAATTTTTGGGCTTTCTGTTAGTGCACTTGTTCTACGGTTTTCTATAAATAAAAGATTTCTTTGCAAACCATCAGATGGCGTGATATTCTATATCTATACAAAAATACTTTACATGAACCATGTAAACAAGAACCTACATGCCAAGTTGATTTTCATAATCTCCAACCATTTTTCCACCTAAATTAAGGTAACCAAGAGTCTCGGAGGTAGACTGAACTTGAAAACTTGGAAATCCGGCGGAAGTTTGGTTAAAGCATTTCAGAAAAGTGCCAGTAGGTGGATAACTAACGACAGGACAATCTACAGATCGGGTACCGTTTATTCCATCCACGTAGAGCTGAAAAAAATTTATACCTTTAAAAAAAGAGAGTGTGAGAGTATTCTTATATAGCATTACACGATCCAAACAAATTGTGACAATGCGTACATTTCAATGGGCTACTTCTATATTAAATCTGAGAAGACTGAGAATATGCAATGATCAAGTATAGTGTACTAGGTACTGTAGACAGTAGTCAAAGTGTACTAAATGTCGATCAAATACATTATCTTTGTTCATACATGTATATAATTTTCAAAAATGCATTTGAAGTTTTATTTTAGGTAAATGAAAAGTGAAGAAAGGATCGAAAATCCCATTGTTGATTTTCATCAACAACAATAGCATTAGATTCAAATGGAAAACAGTATGATTAAAGCGTTGTTTACTTTTTCAGAAATGAATATTATCGTATATGAAGAGAATAGAAAGAGCAATACATAACATTAAAAATATGAGGTATATATGAAAACAATATTTAGTGCAACATATATAATTCACATAAGAAGTCATAATGAAGCGTTGTTTTTTTTTTTTTTTTTTTTTTTTTTGAGTCAGAATAATATTGCATCCATCTATAAGAGTTATCTCTTTTAAAAATATTTTTCGGCCTGGGGGGAAGGAGGGGGGATTGGGTTGTACTACTAATAAAATAATCTTTTTCTTGTACAGGGTGTCCCAAAACATATGTTACACTCTTAAATTGTTATAAAATTTTAATAACTTAAGTTACATTTAAGAAATTTACAACATATAACAAAATTGTTTCAATTTTTTTTTTCAAGCATACATTTGTCACAGTTTCCTTATTAATCATCAAAAACTTTCTTTGGAATAACATATGTCATTTTACAACATATGTCTCAAATGACGTCCCTTTACCTTTAACATTGTTCGAACACGATTTCTGTTTCTGTTATAAATGTAGGATAAAACCAGAGACCTCGAAAAGGAATACTCGCAAGTCTCTGGATTTATCCTACATTTATAACCCAACCGGAAGTCAATGTATCCAATTCAAAGTCTTATTTTGTATCGAGATAATTTTCGAGGAAGAAATGAGTGGTTTACAATAAAGAGGCTCGACCAGAGACGTCTGAAAGGATTTATTTGACAAGAAAAAAGTTTCTCAAAGCGAACGATATAATTTTCAAGTAGGTTAATGATTGATATATGAACAAAATACGAGCTTGAAGCGGGGGTGCCTGATATTGAGTTAGGTACCTTGTGGTAAAAATAAGTAGGGGTGCCCCGTATACGAAACAAGTGCCTGTGGTCAAGCCACTGAAGAACACAATCTGCAGCATGTGGCGTAGCACCGTCCTGTTGAAATCTTACATTATCCAAATTTACAACTTTTCGTCTAAGGGCTGGTAGAAGTTTAGATTTCATTAACTTTAAATATCGTTCAGGATTTACTGTCACTGTATTGCCTTCGGTGTCCTCGAAGAAAAAAGGGCCAATTATTCCGCTTGAACTTAATGTAGTCCATACAGTAACTTTCTCACAGTTTAGAGGTTTTTCCACATAAAAATTGGGTTTCGCCGAACCCCAGAATCTAAAATTCTGTTTAATGACAACATTATTAAGATGGAAGTAGGCTTCATCAGAAAACCACATGGCATCTGTTAAATTTTCAGAGTCAGGTCTACTTAAAATCCAATTGGCAAACTCTAAACGACTTCTGATGTCTGTATCTTTCAAATGCTGAATCACACTTATCTTGTAAGGAATCAATTTTAAATCAAATTTGAGTATTCTATGAACACTAGATTTACTAACGGTGCCATTTAGTTCATGCAGTACCCGTCTAACTGATTTTTGTGGAGTTTCAGTAATAACTCTATCAATGGAATCAATGTTCTCTTTGGTACGGACACTCCTTGGTCTCCCAATACTAGAATTGTGTCTTGTGTCATTTATGGTGCCTTTAAATTCAAACTTCCTCACAAGTCTGTAAATCTGAATTCTGTTGAGCACTTTCATTCCAGGATGTTCTTTTTTCATGGTTCTAACGACTAAAGTATCAGATTTATGATAAATTACTGTAGCATCATTAAAATTGTTAAGAGAAAGAAATATCCCAAATTAAACAGTTTAAAAGAATTGGGTGCAAATGTCTTGGGTCAAGTATTATTTATTTAGCAACTATCAAAAATACTGACAAAAGGAAAAAGAAGTTAATGGTTGCAACGTAATCCGGATTTGAATGACTTGAAAACGCTGGTAAGATAAATTATCGGTCAGCTTAAAGTTATTTTCTTGGGAAGTTTCCACCTTAAACATCTCAAATTCAAAAGAAATATGGAAAACAAAAGCGACGGACAGACTGAAACAAAACCGAATGTCCCCCAGTTTCACCGGTAGGGGACTATAATCATTATACTCAAGAAATAGTTTGTGTCAAGGTGACACCGGTAGGGGACGAATCATGATAATAAAGAAATAGTTTCGTGTAAAGTTGACCACATCATGAATAAAATTATTGATTTTATCCCTCTCTAAACCATATGCTTTCTCGGTTTATTTTTTATATGGTTTCGCCCATAAGTTTACTTAACTTACCAATTCAAATGTAATGAAAGGTTTAGGTGAGAAATCTTTGATCCATGCTTCAACTATGCTCATGTGTGGAGGAACAATGTATTCTAATTTTGTGAAGGTGTAGTTCCCCAGTAGTTCATCTGTACTTGAACCTCTTTCTGTCGAATTAAGCGTGAGATTTGTTCTCTCGTATGTGGTGCCATTCGAGATGAGAAAGAACCTCTGACTTGTAAGAAAGGTAACATTGTTGATTGAGAGATTGTAACGACCGTCAGCGGAAGTTGTAACCTTTAAGGCGGTGTCTCCTACGTTAAAGCAAAATATTGTTTAAGAAAATTGATTGACGTTGCAACAGGCATAACACCTTCCGTTCTGTTGCAGCTAGAGGAATTATTGAAATATTGAGGTGTTTCCTCCTTTGAAAACGCCTCTTATTTAATGCATTAGTAGGATATGCAAGCAGACTTGTTGTCAAAGGTTTCCTTTGGGAAAAACTCAAACTAGTTTTATTTCATTCTCATGTTACTAATACACAGTGCTGACTGCATTCTCAGTACAATTCTCCTATGATTTGATTTTAAGATATTAGAACGTCTAAGTGTAAGAGAACATGTTTATATATTGTGGAATATTTTGTTAATCTTATAAGATACTTAATCTGTCGTACCTGACGTTTGTTTAACAGGTTTCACCACACTCAAACAAAACTGACACAACAGAAGCCCTTCAATTAAACGGAAGGCGGCCATATTTAATGGTCGCAAAATATCTAATCAGTAGTTCTGCAGTTATCGTCTGACAGGAAGATTGTGGATATCACTAATTAAATATATACCTGTATGGATAACACATTGATTACAAGAAGAACATCAACTCACAATTTTATTCAGATTCTTACTTTTGGCAGTTTTTACATGCATATACAAATCACACTTGCAAAAATTTACACTCCAGTTAATTCCTCGTTCTAAGTTATAGAAAATTAAAATGTATCATAGAAATGTCGTCGAAACAGTCTGGATTCACACAATGCAAACAAAACCAAGGCTCCACTCCAGATATGGTCGTTTGTATCACACAAGATTAACTTCAGATCGGTTTGATTTTGGCAAGCAATTAATTCAAGCGTCATTTCAAGAAAATAATGAATAATGTTAAATTGTTTACCGTATATTTTCCTTTTGACTTAATGTTCGAAGTGATGTCATGGATTTGTAATACATTGATATAACCTCACTTTCATCCTCGTGTTCAAACCGAAGACGACATCGCTGAGACACAGGACGTGCCTCGCGTTCACAAGAGTTGGTAACATTCGTGAGCACAAATTCTTGGTATGGACGTGTGCTGTTCCTTACGTTTGTCGCAATAGTTGGAGTTAACAACCGTTTGTTTATGTCACGCAATTCTTTACGCGAAACTGGTCTAGAAATTGTGTTCAGTTCGCAATCTGCACAAAGGTCCTTCAGCTGGCGACGGTGCTCACGAGGGCATATTTCACGTTTCAGTTTACAGCTACTAGTGGGTCTGGAAACTCTATCCACAATGGCATCTGCTTGTTCTCTAGTAACAATTCTGAATGCTGGGGCACGTGGGATTTCAATGTCGTACTGAGCATTATATTCCAAATATCTGCAGAGAAATCTCTTCGCTGCGCGATTTTTGTCTTCACGCGCCCGGGCCACTGGATCTAGAATGTGTTTAAATCCAGGTTTCCGGAAACGTATTTCGGTAGGTAATCCACTATATAAGTGCCGGATATTACTGTCGAGGATTCTTTGATGCGTCGTGCTGAAAGCCATAATAAAGACGATACTTTGCAAAATATAAACCGATGGAAAATAATGCAAGACTTTAGTAGCTGAAACATGCACAAGGAACGGTCAAATTCTGTGCGATGTTAAGTATATTGAATTGTATATTTAATCAAAATGTTATCAAACTGTACATAGAAATTCTTTGATAAATAATCTTAACTTAGCAGTGGACTGATACAGTTGTTTTCATTCGCTGCCTTTTATTTGATATCTCCTGTTTCGTTTACGATAAGGTTAATCTGAAAAGAAACTCCAACGTAGGTTTAAAATGCTGATGACGAAAAGGATCCAATGGAAGCTATAATCTAACCACTTGGACATAACATGCTACTTCACACTTTATGAATAAATAAGAAATGCAAAGAATAAAATTACTTTTTTTAAACTTCTATTTCCCGCATGTTTTTTTATGGTTAAGGATATCCGCTTCTCAGCTAGGAACGATAACTCTTAAAATTATATTATTTAAAAGTGTCTCAAAATGAAGCTTGAAATTAAAATCTTTTTGCGTAACAATTTTCATCTCCGTATGATTCAATGTTCTTTTAAAAAAGCCTTACAAACGGTCGTGTAAAAAAAAAAAAAAAACATTTGTACAAATAAAAGTACAAAAATATAAAACTTTTTTAGAAAAATCGAATTTCCTTTAAACAAGCCTTAGATACCAATGCTTATTAGCATGATATGAAATAGGAAGTGATCGATCTGTGATATCTTGCAATGATAGCACAGGCCTTTTACACTATGAATTATATAACAATTAAAGTAAAATAGAAGTAAAATATAATGCATTACAAGTATAAAAACATGCAATTTTCTCCGGATGCCTCAATATTTATAGTTTTTATGCTATATTGTATTATTTTGCTAATCAATTTGGAATAAGAAAATGCATAGCTGTTTTTTAATTCGGGTTTCCTGAAAATATATTATAAGATTTGATAATTTTCCCTATATATATACATGTAATATGATAAACTATAATGATGAACTTTGAAGAAATACCATGAATACATGTAAATACACATTACTTTGTGAATTCAGCGACATTTTTGTGAGCATTTTCAATTACATGTATTACATGTATACTTGACTCCTGATTTTCAGGACAAGTAGATAAAACACAATGATTGCGATATGCTTCATTGTTATAATGAGTCTGTTAACTCAGTATTTTGCTCTGAAAATTATCAATTACTGAAAAAAGGTGTTCATGTTTCATTGGAATCGTACCTTGTCCTACTATTACATGTAGATGCAAAATATGGAAGGGATGATAAGATAGAATTAATGAGTTTTCACCACGAATCAAACCATGGTTTCGTTCTTTAATAGTTAAAAGTCTATGAATGATTTATTGGAGGACTATTTCAAATGGAAATTATTTCTAAAAAAAAAATGATCGTTAAACGTGTCAATTGGCAATTTCATCTTTTCCCCTCCTAATTCTTTGGGTAAAATAGTTCGGTCAATGGAATATCTTAACCTATAATTGCACCCAAAAGCTATTTCAAAGTAATTAGGAAAATATTTCTTTTTTAGAATATTGAATATTGCATATGTTTTGAAATAAAAGTCACGTTGGAATCATTAGTCCCTCTTCTGATGTAATTGCTTGTCGTGTTTAAGTGCGCATTGTTTTTTGCCTTTCTAATAAATCAATGGTCCTATCCTTTCTCCACCTTGGCGCTTGAATTGATTTGTAATAGCACCACTGAAATTGTAGACATTGTGGATTCGTTTGCAGTGGTATAGTTACGAACATAAAGAGATTAGATTATTAGACTGTTGATGGCAGCAAAGATACTGGTATGTATGTTTAAAAACACTTAGTATCAGCTTTTTAAATTTTGACCGATTGCTGTAAAGAACAATTAGTTCCGTTATACAATGTACACGTGTATGGCAAAACGAAAAATTCATATGAAAAAATATGCAGACAGGGGTTGTAGAAGATGAAAAGATTCAGGTATACTTTGTTATTTGAATGTTTAACGTGTCTAAGTATAGAGTGGATGTTAGTTATAGCTGCTGCGAGTCTCCCGCATGGCGCAGTGGTTACAGTGTTTGTTCTAGACTCGCGAAGTAAGGAGTTGTTCCTTGCAATGTTATATTTTTTTTTCTTCACAAATTCCATCTTAATCCTTTTTTAATTAAATGTTGAATATTCCAATTCTGATCTTGCCTTTTCCAACATTAAAGTTGAAATTTTCAACTCTAATCATTAAGGTATTTCACTTTGCTCATGAAAAAAGTTTGATCAAACCTCTAACTTTAAAACTATTTATTACAATTCATTTTTTATTACATATTTGAATTAAACTATGCAAGTTATACAATGTTCAATTTGTTTGTTTGTTTGTTGTTTAACGTCACTCTCAAGAATTTTTCACTCATATTGAGACGCCACCACTTGTCGCTGGAAGGCTGCAAATTTAGACCTATACTCGGCACTCAGGGTCATTAAGCAGTGAGCTAGGGATCTTTTTCGTGACAGCATATACTCTAACACGGGACCTCCGTTTATACGGTCTCATCCGAAGGACCCTTCTCTACTTTCCGCTGTTGGATTCGAGCCCACGACCTAAGGATCAACTCCTTACTCCGTGACTCTAGAGCAAACGCTCTAACCACTGCGACCAATTTTCAATTTAAACACTGCTCAAAAATCGTAAAGAACCAAGATTCATGGGGAACTATTTCTTGTGGTGGAATGATATTCAGAAGAAAATTCTTCAATTCAACGAATTTTTGAAAAAATTCATATCTTAGAACTTCAGCAAGAATTTTTTCCATAATTTTATGCTAGGAATATTAAATATAGGTTTCAATTGATATTTTGAGAACAAATTTTTCACATTTAGTCAACAGACTTTGCCAAGAAATGAAGATACATAAAAGAAGTTAAGATAAAATTTACGTTTTTATTGTCTGAAAAATTGTATACCAGTATTTTGACCAATATCTCAAAATTTACATCACTGGTCCCAACTTTCTCTTTCATTATTTTAAACTACACAAATAAGATTATATTTATTGCCATGATTACATCTGATGAAATAATATAATAAAGGTTAAAATGATGAACCTAGTTACAGTTTAAGTGCAAGAAAGGCAAATTACTTGTACGTTTGTTCAGTAAGATGCGCACTGACCTCCAGTTTTCTTTGCAATTTTGAATCATGCTATATGAGTACTTATCTAAAATATACTTCTCGAAAAATCCTTGATATAACTGATGTCAGAAGTGACATACCTCTTTTAAGTTGGAAAATTCCAAACTTAATTTTAGCTTTCCCGACTTCGGGAATTCCAATTTGTAGGGAGAATTTCGAGATAGAAAGAGAGAAAAATATATACCTTGGCATTAATAAGCTTCACCACACTTACCACTTCTTACATATATATATATATATATATATATATATATATATATATATATATATATATATATATATATATATATATAGATATAGATATATATAGACATAGGCGTCGGAAACAAATTGAAAGTGGGTGGGTGCTAATTGAAAAAAAAGGGGGGCTATACCAACCAACCAAAAAAAAAACCTTTGGGGACTTTAGCCACAATTTTCAATGCGTATATTATGCCTATCTTTGCACCCCCCCCCCCATCCCCCGGTGCCGACGCCTATAGATGAGATTTGAAAAACATCTATGACTTATCGCAAAACTTTGAAAACTGAAAAGACTTCTAGCATTGGTCTTAACATCTGTCTGATACTTTAACATAATACGATAAATTGATGGAGATACTAGTAGTTATTGCGCAGTGTTACTAATAATTTTCAATACTCCATGTGTGAATAGGATTAAAACAGGTTTTGTGACACAAAAAGTGGTCCAAAAGCTTCAATAATTAATTGAAAATGTGTGTAAACTGTAAACATTCAAGTTTTCCTATAAAAATATACATGAAATCTTAAACTTTGATCACCAACATGCTCGGGTATTGCATGTATCCCGGTATACGCGTTAAAAATTACTGATAACTTTTTTGGGAAAGATTTTTTTCCAAACCTACCATTTTTTGTTAACTCAAAAATCTGTCATTTTAAGGGTTATTCTTTTATCAGTATATTCTATCGCAGTAATCAATTTAGTAAGAATCAAAAAATTCCTTCATGTTTCTTATTATTGAAGGTAATTGTTCTCTCATCGATTGCAAAAGATAAAATCATATAATGAAATTCTACTTCATATAAATGCTTGCCCATTATATAGAAAAATGAATGAGAAATTGTATTTTATTATTTATTGACCAGGTTCAAGCATTTCTTCCATCGATTCCCTTGGACTTACAAGAACTTATAATGCTTCCGTAAGTATAAGTTATGTAATATTCATTATTACAATTGATTAAGCTCTGCTGTTTAAACTAGGTCAAATCAAAACTATAACTCATGTTTAACAATTATAGTTTAGACTTTAATTAATATGTAGAATACAGCTTTCCTAAGGTCTGGATTAGAAAAAATCTGTATTCACAGACCGATGTACTTAGATTTAGCATTCATAAACTTTAGTCATCTTTGTGAAATATACTTTCACATTAAAAAACTCTGGCTAGTAAGTCACTAACTATTCTTACAATTCATAATCTTGTTTATCAAACCCAAATTATACATTTATAATTGATTGCATTTGTGAATTATGCCTGCCATATTTACAAATTCTATCCAATTTGTTGATTTCATTATCTTTTATTTTTTGGTGCTCTTATTGATTGACAAAATAAAATAATTCTCGAATTTGTATTCAGCGTTCATACAAATATCTAAGTGAATGAATGTATCAATTCTGGATGATATTACAAAATTATTTCTAACCCGTATCTTTATGTGATTCTTGAATATCAATGCATTTATCTTTTCAATAAAAAGTAATACGTACGTTACTGAATTTCTTTGTGCCAAAGTTATCAAGTATTTGCATTATGAAAAAAAAATACAATTAATAATTGATAGTTTACATTAAGATAAGGGGTGATGGTACAATAGCAGGATAGATTAATGTCTTAGTCATCGACTCAACATTTCTTCTATTTCTTTTCTAAGATCGATCTTGATAAAAGGAAAATTTATGTTGGTTGATAAAGCAGAGGATCATATAAAATCTAAATCTTAGATATGTTATTAAGTTAGAAAAAAAAAAGAAAATGAATAATGTTTATTATTGAATACCAAAAAAAAAAAGAGAGAGAGAGTGAGAGAGAGAAAAAAATAGGGTATATGCAACTAATTTCTTCTACGGCGAGGTCTAGTAAAATATAATTTATATCTGAAACGGAACAGTGCGAAATTTGATCTTGATTTTCATAGGTGTTTTTTTTTTATTATCAGATGATGGACCTCTCCATCATAAAGATTTTAATCTGCCTTTGCCTCGGTAAGTGCTCCATCGATTGTTAGTGTTATATGAATTCTGAAATGCGAGTTGATAGAAAAACATGATTTGAAAATCAGCCTAATGTATTAATCCTGTTTAATTCCCGTAACTATTTGCATTTTGTGCAACAAACAGCAACGATTCAACAACCAATTTCATGTAAATCATTTCAGAGCGATAAATATCTGAAGTTAATAAAGAGTCTCGAATTTCATTTTTGCTTTTTGATGTAATATGTTTTGTCATTATTCAGGTATTTACAAAGGTGTAAAAGCTTTCACAACTGTTTCGAACAGTATGTTTACTGTAAAGGGTAAGAGATTATAATTTGAAATCCTGATTCAAGAATGAACATTTTATTGATTATTAAAGACTGATGAAAACTTGATGGAATTTTTTCAATTTTTTTTTTTCAAAGTGCACATTAGACATCCATTGATTTTAAATAATCACTGCCCAAAAGTACAAACATTTTCGTCTACATTTTCCCCAATTATTATACTAATTTCATTTTTAAGCTTTCTTCAGCAAAGAGGTGATTACAGATTACACAATTAACATCTCAAATAGTACGTGGTTGGAAGCGGAGGGCACATGTTTGTCGTGGAATCAAACTCTGGTGGGCCATGGCCTGAAGGACTCTTATCTGTATCTAAGGATTCTGGCTCATCGACTGACTGCATGGTAATAGACTTATAACAGTTTTACTTCCAGAAAGACTCTGGTAAATGTTGAACTGCAGTCCAACCAATTAAACTTTGCAAGAACATGGATATATGCATAATGACATAAACTAGTACTGTATCTTCCGTCATCGTCTTTAAAAAATACTACATTCATATATTTAATACACCTTTGCCATTAGAATATCTATAGATCAGTTACACTGAATAATTATTTCAGAGTATGTTGTATATTTGAGAAAGGTATATTTCAATGCATATACTTTTGGCATGCAAGGAATTTTCCTTTTTGTATTTGCTTTACAGGCCTACAAATACCCATGTTTGGTTAAACAGAGTAAGAAAGGTGAATTCCACTCTGTGGTTAAATGATTTGCAGTGTGGGACCAATGGGTCCTTACCTTGGCCAGTACACGGGAATAACATCAGTAGCACTCAGTGTCTTGCACTGAACATGACGTCTCCTACTAATCTGGAGTACGTACTGTTTGCTGCTCCCTGTGAGAAAAAAATGGGTTTTGTCTGTGACTCGTTACAAGGCTTTTATTTTGGTAAGTTTTTGTCTTCTTTCAAGCAATTCAAAGAGACATTACATAAGTAGGAATTTATGTAGGTTTTCATATACATGAACATTTAAATATATAAGGGAAATCGAATTCTATATGTACAAAGGACAATTAAATAAAGAAAGTTAGAAAGAATCTTTGAATAATTATTGAACGCTTATATAGAATATCGTAGATCCATTTTTTCCCACTGCAATTCAAGTAAAAGTCTGCATACAGTTTGTTGCAGACTAGGCTGTAGTATCATGTAAGTATTATAACACACGAGAATAAGGAGTTTGATCTGGTTTTACAGATTCTTTGGGATATGACCTCTTTTATGCTACTCACGTTATTGACCCCATAAACCATACATGGATGTACCAAGATATCCCTCATGAAGCTTGTTTAGGCCATTTGTTCCAGAATTTCACTTGTTATGCTGGGGAGTATGATGAGGAAATCCGGGCTTGCACACTGTACTGTGCACCTTTGATGTTGCCTCCTGAAACCATTAAGTTGGATACCGCGAGTAGTAATGTTACAACGGCTGTGAAATCTTCGTCACGTCGTAAGTGACGGTCTTCTCGGTCTGAAATTAAATTAGTTTTTAAAAAATAATACACATTTGTTGGTTTGTTATTTTATTTTATTCACCTTTTGTGTTTCAAAGTTTTGTTCTAAAGAAGTACGTTGCTCTCTTTACAGTAACGATATCAAACTCTACAAATTTCGTGATGGGGAGTTTTCCATTGTGTGAGACTACTACCACAAATATAATCACTACGCTGGGCGTGACTAGTACAAGCCAATCATACACAGACGCCTCCACTGAAATACCTGGAGAAACTGTAGTGACCGACAATGGTGTAACGACTGCTACGTTTTCAACTCATGTGGAAACTACTAGCGAACTTAATCAGTTTTCTACAGAGGGATCCTCTAGCATGACGACTGGTTCAAGCTCATTCCATTCAGAAACTTTCAGTGCATCGACATCAGATGGACTGGAAGATGTTAGCTCTGTATCAACTTTGGAATATAGTACTTCTTCGGCAGATACAACCACGTCTACTTTGGAGCTTGGTACTACTTCGGCAGATACAACCACATCCACCTTGGGATATCCTACTACTTCGACAGATACAACCACGTCTATTTTGGATAATAGTACTACACCGGCAGATACAACCACATCCACCTTGGGATATCCTACTACTTCGACAGATACAACCACGTCTACTTTGGAGCTTAGTACTACAAAGATAGTTTCAACTACGCCAAAAGAGATGTTCACTACAGATAAAAGTACAACACTGTCAATGACTAGTACGAATACTATAGAGCATTCAACCACTATGCCCTCTTTGACTGATATTAGAACTTCAACCGCTACCACGGAAGGGCCTAGGTCATCTGCAAGTCCGGAATACGTGACAATATTGTATACGTCAACATCAAAGACGTGTAACCCATGTGTGTGCAACAACGACACTACAACCAATAAAACACAGGAACAGATTCAAGAAGAGATTGCTCAAATTAAGAAAAACCTGACCTTAGAAAAGTCGACACTCTCCTCGTACACTCGTCAAAAAAATTCCGCACCTGATAAACGCTGGTCGTCTGCTGCTCTTGGTTCAGTGGGAATTGTAATTATCGTTGCTGCTGGCTCGGTTGTGGTACTAAGTGACACTCAGCACTTCATATGGGCAATAAAAGTGTGGAAGAAAAGACTAACAAAATATAGGTACTTATTAACTTTCTGTCTTCCGTGTCACAATAGATAATAGAAGAACATGCACTTTAGAAATATTGCTGATGATCTGTTCTATCGTTTTAGATTTTCAAGAAACCTCAAACCTTGATGACTTCTGTTGGATGCTCGAGGCCTTGTGGTGATAGTGCTGTTTGAGAAGGAAATAAAGTTCTTATATACGTGATACAAGGTCTATTCAAGAATACAAAACAATCACTTATCCTCAGAATAAAAACAAGAGTTACAGTACACACTGAAACCATAAATTAATGTGTATCTCGTCCTACATTGTTTAATGCACATTGTATATTCTGTCCTACATTTTATTTGTTTTTCCGAGATGCTGAGATTTTCTACATTATAACCATTGTAACAACATTCAATAGATGGCCTTGAAATGTGTGTTTATTTAAAAGTGTAACAAAGGATATTGATTACATCTTTGAGATTTATGAAACATCCAGTCAAGAAATTATATTGTCAATATATGATTTGATTCATCGATGCTTAAAATCATTTACATGAATATTATATACATTTTCTCATAAAAAAATGCCTTAACAGCTTAACCAGTTACTCGAGAAATATATGTTTCAACCTTCGAGACGGGGTTGTTGGCAAATTTAGTATTTTACCATGGTGTCCGGATAGGGCCATTTGCAAAAGCTCAACAGCGCGTTCAAAAAAACACGATGTCGCGCTAACACACAACACGCTGTCACGCTAACACAAGTTCGCACAACACGCCGTCGCGCTAACACACAACGCGCTGTCACGCTAACACAAATTCGCACAACACGCTGTCGCGATTACACACAACACGCTGTCACGCTAACACACAACACGCCGTTGCGCTAATGCAACTTTACACAACACTCTGTCGCGCTGTCACACAACTCGCTAACACAACTTTTGTGATAGCGCGAATGCGAGTTGTGTGTTAGCGCGACGGCGTGTTGCTTGAAAGCGTGTAAGCGCGACGGCGTGTTGTGTGAACTTGTGTTAGCGTGACAGCTTGTTGTGTGTAATCGCGACGGCGTGTTGTGCGAACTTGTGTTAGCGTGACAGCGCGTTGTGTGTTAGCGCGACGGCGTGTTGTGCGAAATTGTGTTAGCGTGACAGCGTGTTGTGTGTTAGCGCGACATCGTGTTTTTTTGAACGCGCTGTTGAGCTTTTGCAAATGGCCCTCTCCGGACACCATACCATTTGCAAAAGCTCGAACAAGTTCGCACAACACGCTGTCGCGCTAACACACAACAGCGCGACGGCGTGTTGTGCGAACTTGTGTTAGCGTGACGGCGCGTTGTGTGTTAGCGCGACAGCGTGTTGTGCGAACTTGTGTTAGCGTGACAGCGCGTTGTGTGTTAGCGCGACATCGTGTTGTGCGAAATTGTGTTAGCGTGACGGCGTGTTGTGTGTTAGCGCGACGGCGAGTTGTGTGAACTTGTGTTAGCTTGACGGCGCGTTGTGTGTTAGCGCGACGGCAAGTTGTGCGAACTTGTGTTAGCGTGACGGCGCGTTGTGTGTTAGTGCGACAGCGTGTTGTGCGAACTTGTGTTAGCGTGACGGCGCGTTGTGTGTTAGCGCGACAGCGTGTTGTGCGAACTTGTGTTAGCGTGACAGCGCGTTTTGTGTTAGCGCGACATCGTGTTGTGCGAAATTGTGTTAGCGTGACGGCGTGTTGTGTGTTAGCGCGACGGCGAGTTGTGCGAACTTGTGTTAGCGTGACGGCGCGTTGTGTGTTAGCGCGACAGCGTGTTGTGCGAACTTGTGTTAGCGTGATGGCGCGTTGTGTGTTAGCGTGACATCGTGTTGTGCGAAATTGTGTTAGCGTGACAGCGTGTTGTGTGTTAGCGCGACGGCGTGTTTTTCTGAACGCGCTGTTGAGCTTTTGCAAATGGCCCTCTCCGGACACCATACCGTTTGCAAAAGCTCGAACAAGTTCGCACAACACGCTGTCGCGCTAACACACAACAGCGCGACGGCGTGTTGTGCGAACTTGTGTTAGCGTGACGGCGCGTTGTGTGTTAGCGCGACATCGTGTTGTGCGAAATTGTGTTAGCGTGACGGCGTGTTGTGTGTTAGCGCGACGGCGAGTTGTGTGAACTTGTGTTAGCTTGACGGCGCGTTGTGTGTTAGCGCGACGGCAAGTTGTGCGAACTTGTGTTAGCGTGACGGCGCGTTGTGTGTTAGTGCGACAGCGTGTTGTGCGAACTTGTGTTAGCGTGACGGCGCGTTGTGTGTTAGCGCGACAGCGTGTTGTGCGAACTTGTGTTAGCGTGACAGCGCGTTGTGTGTCAGCGCGACATCGTGTTGTGCAAAATTGTGTTAGCGTGACGGCGTGTTGTGTGTTAGCGCGACGGCGAGTTGTGCGAACTTGTGTTAGCGTGACGGCGCGTTGTGTGTTAGCGCGACAGCGTGTTGTGCGAACTTGTGTTAGCGTGACGGCGCGTTGTGTGTTAGCGTGACATCGTGTTGTGCGAAATTGTGTTAGCGTGACAGCGTGTTGTGTGTTAGCGTGACGGCGTGTTTTTCTGAACGCGCTGTTGAGCTTTTGCAAATGGCCCTATCCGGACACCATACACTGAAGATTCCGAATTTTATCCCCTCGAGTCAGCTTAAATACAACGAAGACCATTCGACGTAAGATTTCGAACTTCTTAATAATAATTATATTTATTGTACCCCGCTTTCGCGAAAGCAAGGGGACATGAAATCTCATTCGTCTGTCTGTCAGTTCGTCCGTCTGTCGGTCTGTCACAAAACTTTAACCTTGGTCATAACTTTTGAATGAGAAAAGACAGGGCTTTCATATTTCACAGGTACATTACCTCTGACAAGACTTTTCCAAAATATATCAAAATTTTTGACCCCGTGACCTTGATCTTGAATTTTGGCCTACTTTTAAAAAAAATTAACGTTAATTTTATCTTTGGTCATAACTTTTCATTGAGAAGAGACAGAGCTTTCAAAGTTTGCATACATGTGACAAGTTAGTAAGTAGTTGGGTTGGGGGAGTTGGAGGTTCAAATCCCACTATGGGACGTAGAAACCGGTCCTTCGGATGAGACCGTATTAACTGAGGTCCCGTGTCGCAGTAGGTGCTGGAACGAAAAAGATCCCTCACTGTTTAATGGCCCTATGTGCCGAGTATAGGTCAAAATTTGCAGCTCTCCACCAGCAAGTGTTGGCGTCTCAATATGAGTGAAAAATTCTCCAGAGGGACGTTAAAAAATAAACAAACAAACAATTACATGTGACAAGACCTTTCTAAATGCACCATGATTCTTGACTCCGTGACCTGACCTTGAAGTTTGAACTATTTTTCTAAAATTTTAACATTGGTTTTAAAATTTGAATGAGAAAAGATAAGGCATTCATATTTGGTTGGTGTATTAACTTTGACAGTAGTTTTTCAAACGTGCTTTGATTTTTGACCCCTTGACCTTGAAGCCCGTCTTGATTTTTATTTTTATTTTTTATATTGGTAATAACTTTTGAATGACAGAAGAAAGGACGTTCATATTTGACAAGTGCATCATCTGTGACAAGAAGTTTCCGAATGAGCTTTGATATTTGACCCTGTGACCTTGACCTTCAAGTTTGACCTACTTTTCAATTTTATCATTTCTGCTAAATGTTGAAGGAGAGAAGATGGGGCATTCATATTTGAAAAGTACTGACCTGTAAAAAGAACTTTCCAAATGCACTATGATTTTTAACTACATGACCTTGACCTTGAAGTTTGACCTAATTTTCAACAATTTTAACATTGTTGTTAACTTTTGAATAGCAGAGGATAAGACATGTACATTACCTGTTTCAAAACCTTTCCGAATGTACTCTGGTTTTTGACCTCGATTCTAATTTTAACATACAGTCTTTTTATTTATTATTTTTTTTTTTTACATTAGTAAGATCTTTTGAATGAGAGAAGATAGGGCTTTCATATTTTACATGAACATTACCTCTGATAAAACCTTTCAGTAAGGTATATCATTTTTGACTTCATGACCTTGATCTTGACGTTTGAAGGACACATAAAGAAGACAGTTACAATATGCAATAAATAATTGCATCCCAACCACAATTCTTTGAATTTACTTGTTTAGTCTACGAAATAATAAAAAATTACACCCCTAGATACAAAATTGCCTTGTAGCAACCATTACAACACTAATGATAAAGTTTTGCAGTAGTGATTTTTTTTTTATTCTTTATAAATGGTAAAAGTGTATCATTGATGACGCTATCATAACCAATAACGATTAAACGTTCACTAATGATAACATTTTTCATTAGAGGTTTTAAATATCGTCTAATGTTAAAAAATAATGAGGGGAAATATGCACATTCTCATCCACTAATGATAAAAAAAGATGCATTAGCGAAGGAATTTAACATTCGTTAATGAAATAATTTGACTTTTAGGTTTTCAATAAGCATCTGAATCATTTATTTGTAATTGTTTAATTTGAGTGGGTCAGGTGGGGTCATGTTTTTCATAAGTATCTGTCCTATCTACCATTGTTTGGGGGGGGGGGGGTCCATGCGGTATCTTTCTGTAATGAATTTGTGCACGTTATATAGCTTTTGATGCCTTACTTCGCTTCTGATGGTAGAAATACTGACGAAAAATGCAAACATTGTGTATTGGGAAGTAAAAGAAATCTAAACTTGAAGGAATTAAGAACGAGGGCGCATTTGATTAGCATTCGGCAGGAATCTTGCCACACTAACTTGAAAAGTGAAAATTTCATTAATCTGTCACATCATGTATCAGGTTCCTATGAAATAGAAAAGGAAAATATTTTCCCGATAGTGTGTTTTGATTTGCCGTCGCGCTAACGCACAACACGCCGTCACGCTAACGAAACTTTACAAAACACGCCGTCGCGTTAACACAATACACGCCGTCACGCTAACACAATTTTACACAATGTATTGTGTGTTAGCGCGACGGTGTGTTGTGTAAAGTTGCGTTACATGTAGCGTGACGGCGTGTTGTGTGTTAGCGCGACAATGTGTTGTGAACATGCTAACGCGTCGTCACTTCGCGCTAGAGCGTTGTTCCTAACGCACTGTTACACTTTTGCAAACGGTCCTATCGGGACATCATAGATAGCACAGTAGTATGCATTAGTTAGTCCAGTGCACTGAAGAATCGAGAAGTATTTGGTTCGATCCTC